CTGTGAGTGGATCATCATTTGTAATAATGCTCTACTAATAACTGATAGCGAAGCCAACTTTGTTGAGAGTTTATTTTTGCCAAGCACAGTGCTGGGCTCTTCTCACTCTGTAATCTGTTTCCCTATCACAACTATAATATAGGTGCCATGACTACCTCCATTTTACAGCTGAGGAAACTCAAGATCAGAGAGGTTGAGTAACTTATCCAGAGCCACACAGACATCACAGGTGAAGCAAAGATGAAAACACAGTTCTTTCTAACTCCAGCCTGTGTTGTCAGAATACAATGGCTGGGCACTCAGAGGAGGCCTCAGTGTCCTCCTCCTGAACACAGTTTCACAGAATAACATCAGACAAGGTCACTCTGACCAGAATGGACTGGGACAAAACCAAGATCACCTCATAGTCATGTCCAAAGACAGACAAAAACAAGAATACTGTCAAGACCACAAAATGACCAACTAGTCACTGATCCTGGCTAATAATCAGTGAATATTTTCTTTTTCCAATTATAGATTTAACTCCTCCTTCTTTCCTATCTTCTACACAAGAATTATTAAAATATTCAGTCATAAGATTGCTCTGACTTCCAGATAGCATCCAGTCTGGAGAAAAGCCCCACTTCCTCAAACTCTCTCTAAAAATCACTCAACCCAAGCCCAAATGGATGTCATCTTTTTTTACTGTGATGCCCCACTGCAGTCTCCCTCCTATCAATGAGTCTATAAATCAAGTTCAACATGGTAGTCTTTGGCTGAAGCATGTTGACATTTCTAAACACTCCTCATCATACACATTCTTAGATTCGCATGCATCTCATAGATTTGCTTACAATGTGGCTTGAACCCCCAGACTTGACCAAATGTGGTCAGTCTCATCTCCTCTTTCTCCTCCACCTTAAAAAAAAAATAAGCTGTGGATGTATGTCTGTTACTTAAATTTTCTGAACATGAGTTCCCATATCACAGCGGGGGAGTTGGTATGAAGATTAAATGTGGTGACATATGTAGAATATTCTAGTCTATTGCCAGATTGATGCTCTAGAAATGTTCGTTTCTTCCTCTGATCCTTTCTTGATTGAATCTTTTCTTCTAAATAAGGCATTTTATCCAACTATCATATTCTAGTCATGAAGTCTGACTCACCAAATCTTGAGAACATTTAGAGATTAATGTAAAATTTCTAGTTTATGCTACCTATTCTCTGTGCCGAGAGAGTTCCAGAAAAACATCTACTTCTGCTTTATTGACTATGCCAAAGCCTTTAACTGTGTGGATCACAACAAACTGTAGAAAATTCTTAAAGAGATGGGAATACCAGACCACCTGACCTGCCTCTTGAGAAATCTGTATGCAGATCAAGAAGCAACAGTTAGAACTGGACATGGAACAACAGACTGGTTCCAAATCAGGAAAGGAGCACATCAAGGCTGTATATTGTCACCCTGCTTAATTAACTTATATGTAGAGTACATCATGAGAAACACTNTTGCTTATGGACAGCGAAGCCTGGCGTGCTGCAGTCCATGGGGTCACAAAGAGTTGGATAGACCTGAATGACCAAGCTGAACTGAACTGATTCTCTGTGCCATAATTTATAGATATATTAAGGCCAATTAATACTAATACATTTTATTCATTCTGAGATACACAGCATTCTCCCTCATATTTTAATGCGACATCTTAAAGGGAAGATTTTAGGATAAAAATTGGGATGTGTCTTATAATCAGTGTCATGTCTTGGTTTAACTGGCAGCTTTTTTTTGTTCTTGGTGGAACATAAAATATTTATGATTTTTGTGTCAGTAGCATCCTAGATTTGATGAAATGTGGTATATATTTTTAAATGACTGGACAGCTCTTCTTCCACTCTTTCACCTTTTCACCATTGTAGTTAATGGTTGGCTCTGTTTTCTACTTCAATTCAGAGACTAACTACCATTCTAAAGCCAAATGTAAGCTCGAGAAGTTGAGTTTTTAAAGTATTTGGACTTAAAACCTTGCTATTATCATTTGAGTCCAAGTCATGTTTCATAGGCATATTTGTATAATATGAGCTCTGACACAGATCCAAAAATAAGTTAATATAGCAAATGGAAATTGCTACACATTTGATTCTGTCATGTAATGGAGTTAATGCTAAAAAACAGTCTGAACAAGTTCTGTGAAGCTTTTGTTCTATTTGACTTTAAGTGAAACAAAATCTTCAGAACAAGAGGGCAATAAAATAATGCTTTGCTAAAAGGATGAAAGAATATGACCTAAATCTATTAGTGATAGAACACTCTATGAATGCACTCAAGTTAATAGCATCTTTTAGCAATAGATACTTTTTCAATTACAGTAATGCTAAGAAATAAATAGGCTAAGTGAGAGAAAAATGGTCAGAGACACATGAATTGGACTAGTTGTTTGACTGTTCGGTTTTTTATAACCAATTCTCAAGGGGCAGAAATCTAACCAACAACCTATTGATGGGTCATTAATTTGAGTTTCCATATTCTAGATCTACTTCATCTTGTTACAGAGGCAGTGTTTTGCTGCCCCAGCTCCAAAGGTTTGGCAGCACTTAGCAATCTGTACACAGTGAGTCGTGTAGCCTCCTTTTCTTCCTGCCCAATCTTGTGTTGTCCAGCTGTCATAGAAGCTCCATTACTGTAAGGGCTTGCTAACTAGGTGTGATGCTACAATTTCATGCAATGTAATTCCTCCGGGGGTATTTCCTTCCTGTCCTTTGCTGAGTTCTCAATGACCCCACTTTCACCAATCTTTAGTTGCACGCAAGAGTGATTGCAAAGGCTACCCTTTTGGAGTATCTGTGTGGAAATGCAGTTTTATTTCCGCTTTAAGGGTTTAAAATTTTTATTCCCCCTTTTTAAAAGCAGTGCTCTGGCTACTTTTGCAAAGAATGTGCTGTTCTGAGAGTAAATAACTGAAATGGAGAGGCAGACTCTTATCTTCATGGAACCTCACAAATGGAAAAGCAAAGATATGGATATGGAAAGAGAAAGTGTCAGGAAAATTGCCATAAATCACAGAGCAAGGATATTGGGCTACATCTAGCACCAGTTTGGTTGTGTTTTAAAAAGGATAAATATGCTTCCCTTTAAGAGTGTAGTAGCAACTCTTCCCGCTGTGAACCTCTTCACCGGGAGTCCTCCCACCGGGTTGCACAGGGTGAGATGTGCTCCAGGGTTATTACTGTGATTGAGAGGGTGTCTCTGGAATGTTTGCTTTTCCTGCATTCTCACTTGTCCCCTCCCAGCTTTCGCGAGAGAGGATGTAACAGTCCACTGCCAATGTCTGCTAAAAGTTGGGTGTTTTAGGTAGAGTTACACTTCAAATGCCACCCAAGGGAATGAAGGAAGGAAGTTGGGGAGGAAAGAAGGGGGGAGGGAGGGAAGGAAGAAGGCAGGAAAGGAGTTATAAACTCAAAACCAGTGCTTCTCACAGTTTATTGTGAGTATGAATCTCCTGGGGATTTTCTTTCAAGGCAGATTCTGATTCGGGGAGTCTGAGACCCTGGATGGACTGAGACCTGCAGGTCTGCCTTCTTAACAAGGTCCCAGGTGATACTGATGCTGCCGGTCCAGAGATCACATCTTGAATACAGAGACCCTAAACTAAATGCAGCTGTCTTCTTGCTGATTATGAACATTATTTTAAAGGAGATTGGGATGCTTACTTCTTAGGAACTTGTCAGGATATATCTGGAAACAAATGGGACACAGGAAAAACCTGTGGAAGTCACTGGACTTCTCTGGTGGAAGTCACTCTCCCTCATTGTGATCCATTTTCCTTTCTCCATCACCAACCTCCCAGACCTGGTACCTAGAGGTCTCTGGAGCCAGGGTCCACTAGGTACAGAAGAAAATATCCCCCGAATACAGTTTCTATCATGATGTTGGGATGTATTGTGTTCTGTCTCCCTGGGACATTTCATGTGATTTATAGGGTAGTGTCAGTCTTGGAGTCAGGTGGAATTGGGTTCAAATCCCGATTTCAAATTCACTAACTATGGCCACAGGTGAGTTGCTTAACCTGTCTAAACCTCAGCTTTCAGATCTGTGCAAGGAGAATTATAATCCTGCAACACGGGCTTCTTTGGAGATTTAATGAGAAAATGTATACAAAATACTAAACAAAGTGTCTGGCCCATAGTAAGTATTCCATGGATTCTAGCTCTCATAAATATTTGAGCAATGGAGTAGTCTAGCTGACACAGATGTGGGCTTTCCGTCGATCAGACAGCCTGGAATATCTGTGTCACTAACTGGCCTCGCAGGTGGCTCAGAGGTAAAGAACCCACCTAACAATGCAGGAGAAAAGAATTCAATCCCTGGGCCAGGAAGATCCCCTGGAGCAGGAAATGGCATCCCACTCCAGTATTCTTGCCTGGGAAATCCCATGGACTGAGGAGCCTGGTGGGCTACAGTCCATTGGGGTTGCAAAGGAGTTGGACATGACTTAGCAGCTGAACAACAACAGCTGTCCCTAATTAGGTATGTACATGACAGTGAGTTACCCTCTATAAAGCTTAGTATCCTGTACAAATGGACATAATAGTCATAAGCACCCTATAGGGTTATTACAAGTGTTAGTGGGTTTCCCAGGTGGCCCAGTGGGTAAAGAATCCACCTTCAACGCAAGAGATGCAGAAGGTGTGGGTTTGATCCTTGGGTGGGGAAAATCCCCTGAAGGAGGTCATGGCAACCCACTCCAGTATTCTTGCCCAGAGAATCCAGAGGACAGAGGAGCCTGGCGAGGTACAGTCCATAGGGTCACAGAGTCTGAATGAATTCGACTGAAGCGAATGAGCACACACATGCATGGATAAGGGTTAATGCTGCTGCTTATTCGCCCAGTCACGTTGGACTCTTTGTGACCTCATGGACTGTAACTCGCCAGGTTCCTCTGTCCATGGGATTCTCCAGGGAAGAATACTGGAGAAGGTTGCCATTCCCTCCTCCAGGGGATCTTCCTGGCCCAGGGATCAAACCCGGGTCTCCCACATTGCAGGTAGATTCTTTACCATCTGAGCCACCAGGGAAACCCAAGGATTAATTATACATATATGTATGTGTGTAATATACTAATTAGATGTGTGTAATTAATTATTACTTGGCACATAGACCTTTATATGTCAAGCAAATTATACCGATATCTCTATAAAATGATCAAAGCAAAAGAATTATTTATTCAAAAGAAGGAGCATTTTAGGAGTTGGTCAGACATTTCTTATGCCTGGAGGAGTGAAAAGAGAGAGCCGCTATGACTCCTCAAATCCTCCCATGTCACCCAGAAGCTCCTGAATGCTTTCGGACAGACCAGTGTCCCTCTGCGACAAACCAGACACAGGACAAAGGGAGAATGGGAAAAAAAGTCCAATGCAATGAGGTTTTCATTAATCTGAATTGCTTCAATTTGAAGGATTTTCCTTTAATCGGAGAATACACCCTTTGGGGTGGGAGAAAGGCTTTCAAAATGTGTGTGTTGTCAGATCATGAGAGTATGTAGCAATTTAAAAAATATTTGTACTTGGCAAAATGAAATGTTGAGATCTTTCTATTCGCACAATCATTAGTTGGCTGCTTTAATTGGACTGCCCCGTGAAATCTCAGTCTGGGAAAGTCAACAATCTGTGATGCTCTAATCACCTGCTCTTTGCAGTCACTGTGGATCTAGGGCCATGGGCTTACTGTAGTGAGGGTCTCTGAGATCTTGTACCGCATGTGTTATCAGAAGCGACTGCACCCAGAGGCCATCATTTCCAATTGAAAAAATGATTTCTTCCATTGTGGCTCGTGGTTAAATCATATTCTGAATGTCAGTTCAGCAGCCTTCTTGCTGCTGAAAGGTTGAGCAGAGTTCAGACCTCTGGAAGGCATGTAGGTCTGGAGAAGAGGGAACCCATATATCATTGTGGTTTCCACCTGACTTTCGTCTGAGCCAGGAGTTTGAGCTCGTGTAACTATGACATAGCTCCCTCTGTTTCACCCTCACCTTCTTCTCAGACTTGGGGTCCAAGTATCTACAGGCACACCTTGTTTTATTGTGCTTCACTTTAATACGCTCCAGTCATTGCGTTTCTTTACAAATTGCAAATCTGTGGCTACCCTGTGTTATCAGATGGTGGTCAGCATTTTTATAAGTATTTTTTTTTTCCTGTTGGCAAGTGCGAGAAAGGTGCTTAGTTTATTTTTTAATTTTTTTTCCATTTATTTTTATTCATTGGAGGCTAAGTACTTTACAATATTGTAGTGGTTTTTGCCATACATTAACNGATAACCCTATATGCAAAACAGAAAAAGAGACACAGATGTACAGAACAGACTTGTGGACTCTGTGGGAGAAGGCGAGGGTGGGATGTTCAGAGAGACTGGCATTGAAACAAGTATACTATCAAGGGTGAAACAGATCACCAGCCCAGGTTGGATGCATGAGACGGGTGCTCAGGGCTGGTGCACTTTATAAGTATTTTAAAATTACAATGTATATATTTCTTAGACATAATGCTATTGCACACTTAATGGGCTACAGTATAGTGTCAGTGTAACTTTTATATGCGCTGGGAAACCCCCCAAAAACGTGTGAATTGCTTTATTGCATTATTTGCTTTGTTACAGTGGTCTGGAACTGGATCCACAGTGTTCCTAAGATCTGCCCATCCTGGGGGCTGCTCACCTGAGAACCTTAATATACTGAAAACAGTTTGAAAACTCAATGAGACTTTTAATGGGGCAGGTCTGTAGGTCAGGGTAGCTGCAAAGAAAACCTCACAGATATTAGAAACAAACCCAAGAGTTGCTGTAAGAGGTTGGAGGCGGGGCTATTGCAAAAAGAACCGTAGCGACTTCTGACCCTACCACTATACTGTGATGATGGCAAGAAAAATGGACTAGTTTCCCTCCCTTCTGCCTCATCTCCGCTGTAGCATGCGCGCGCGCGCACACACACACACACACACACACACTCTTCACGTAAGCTTACACCAAAATTTTAAAGCAGATTATCAGCTTGGACCAGTTCAAGCATATTTAAAGTTAGTTCTCAGTAATTCTTGCTTATTTTACCATGGGTAGGTAACCCAGGAGACCTTTAAAACTAGGCCAGTGATTCCACCTCAGAGTGTCTTAATCTCATTTCCTTGTCATCAAATTTGGCAACTGGTCAGGTGGGGGAAAAAATTCTGTTTTTTGTTAGTGAAAGTATAACAGTGTTAGTAAGATAGGTCCTCAACTGAGAAAATACATCTTCTTTATGATTTCTCCTTTAAGGAATTCATGCCCTGTCTCCCCATTTTAGGGATAGGTACTGAGAATTGATAGAAAACTAAACAAAATTTTATCTTAATTTTCCACCAATTGGTATATTTACATGGTCATCGATAATAACATGCTGATTTGTGAATTCAGTCTTTTTGCAGGGAGAAAAAAGCCATGTCTAAATTCCTCTGGGGACACAAACACTGTTATCAGAATTTGCAATGATTTGGAAAATGGCCCTCAAAGCAGTTGTAAGTTTACGTGCAATTTTCAATAAGGACCTTTGGCAAGAAAGTCCCTTGGGCAGGGCCTGCCTTATGGGCCATCAGCTATTGCAGGCACATGCGTCTCAGCACCCAGCAGGGTCCCACGTTTGGAACTTAATGCTCAGAGATTACCATCTTGAAATTCTTAATAATTTATCTTTGAAATCGTGTTTTGTGAGTCAGGTCCAATGGGACAAGAACATGAGGTGGGAAGCCGGGAAGCTTGGAGCTCTGGGGGTCCAGCCACTATGTCCCTACCTCCCCAGGACACGGCGGTCCTCAGCCACCTGCTCTCTGCCCTGGGTGCCCTGGGAACCCTGAAAGGTGGAGTGTAACTGTTGCCTTCACACCTCTGCCCTTTTTGGGGATCCGGGCTCAGGTGTGGGGCGAGTCACATAATCAACGTGCAACTCACCACAATCCAGGTGTCCAATGCATCCCAGAGTGGAGATTGCAATCCCTTGGGTTTACCCATCTGCCATGGTTTAAGGCAGCAATCCTGAGGAAAGGGGAGACTGACTTCTCAGCCCCAGGCTAGGAACTTGCCCTTGCATTTGGCACTGAACCCCGTAAATTATGTAGGCAGCCCTCCTAAGCACAGAAACCAACTCCCTAGATGGACATTAAAACACAGGATCAACACAACCTTCGTGTCCAAGGGGCTGTGCCAGGATCTCCTCAGTAGGTTGAGAGCAAGGACATCATCCCTGAATCCAGTGCAGTGTTGAGCATGACCCCCTAGAAGTGACCTTGCCAGAGGAAGTGGCCATTTACTGGCAGAAATGTGTTGAAGTTAGTAAATCTTCCTAACTCAGGAAAGACATTTTTTAAAATGAGACAAATCATTTTCAGGTGTCTTAAAATGTTTTTAAATTGTTTCAGCACACGTTGATACACATCTTCTTCATTTTAGGAACCACATACCTAAACACCAGCATACCTATTACATACGTACATAACACATACACATACATACATAGGAGCTTGCATACATTCCAAGCCCAGAGCTGGCCTGCAGCAGATACAAAGGTGAGTGAGAAAGAGTCTTTGCCCTGAAAGAATTTATACTCTAGTAGAGACAGCAGTGCTCAAGGGATAATCCGTACCCCAAAGCTCTCCACATGCCAACAGTGTGTTGTGGAATTTTGCCTAAGTATATTTGATGACTGTCTCTTTTTTCATCTCTTTTCTGAGAGGAAGCATTTACAGAAATTGAGACCTTTATTGGCTTGGATATCACAGGAGTTCAGCTCTGCTTTTATGAGATGGATGTGAAAACAAATGGTAAAAAATTGTTGAACGAAGACTGAAGGGAAATGTAGGAAATTTTGAGAGGGAAAAAAAATGTCTTTAAAGGTTTCCAGAGCACACATGGAGTAAGTCTACATGGAGGACTAAAGCAATTATTGAATAATTTTGATAGATATTACAAAAGCATTTTCAGATAGTCAAGTTCAAATAAGGGATTTGTAGGGTTTCTTGTTCTCCTTTACCTGGATATCTTGAATCTCTGTTTGACTTTTCATGCTTCCGTACAGCCTTTACATAAATAGAGCATTTAAAACCATGAAGGATCTAGACCCCTCACTCAAAGATAACTGGATTTCCCACCACCAAAGGCCAGATAAGTCACCTGCTAACAGAATGAAGGGATCCATTCTTCCCATTAATGTCATGGACATTTACTGTTCTCCTGGCCTCCCTCAGTGAGTGAAGTTACAAGTACTTGACAACAGAACTTGCAAAAATGCACAAACCCTGTGGGAATTAATAAATGTTAGATTCTTCAGATGGGGTTTATTGCTTTAGAATCTCCAGGTTCACTGGAGATCTGTATAGTGTTCTGGACATAAATACATGTGTGACCAGCATCCTAAAGAAAACTTGACAGGCAATAAAAAAATTGCAGACAGTAGCAGTGGCTCTGGAAAGGTGTTTATAGACACCTCCGCTCCCTCTTGGCATTTAGGAATCTTGAAGAAATTGAAAGAAAGGGAAGTTTAATTTTGAGGGGGCTTCTGCCCTGCTTAGCTGAGTTCACATGCCCAACATGAAATAATAATGCATTCAACCACCCATCTTATAACAAGCAACCTCTGCATCACCTCACTCCCTGGTGAAAACAGCAGACAATGGGCAGGAAAGGTATAAATGCCAGAAAAAGCTGAGGGATCCCTGTGACCTTCATGTGATTATGTTTGTGCTAATGCATCACAGACAGAAACCCAAACTCTCCCTCTGAAGAACCCAATTCATTAAAAATGCATTGGTCATTAGCCAGGGAATCTCATGAACTGTTCGAGGGATGGCCGAGGAGAAAGTGGAACTGGTATATTCCGATGAGCCACTCAAACGTGCAACTCTGTTTTCTCCTTCATCTGCTCCTCTATTCTGGAGTGCACATCTGTTTTACTTTTAGAATTGCCAAGACATACTAAGTCTTGTCTGCCTCAGTTAATAAAAACCATTATACAAAACTTTTTTTTTT